AGTTAAGGTAGAAAAGATAACACAATAGTTAGGTTAATTCGCCGCTTATTTTCTTCTGTCTTCAATTTTATTTTAAACTCCAAGGCTTTTGGGGTTTCCCTTCTCTAATAATAAAAAATTTTCTCACCATTTCGACACACTGTATCTCCTGTACTGCTTCTGTTTCAGGGGCTTGTCCCAACCTATTCAGCCATTTTGGCTGCTAACCTTTGTAGCTGGCAAAAAGAGCTTTCTCTTGGATCAATCAGGTACTTTGCGATGTCCCTGAGATCAGCAGGACATGCTCTTCTCCTTCAGAACAGTTTAGGTCCAAAAGGACCGTCCAGGAACAGAGATATCGACAGCAATCTTGGAGCCCCAAGATTGCATGTCGTGTCATTGCAAAGTCAAGCCCCGCCTCCCAAATAGTGCCTCTTATAGTGCGAAAAATATGGGTAGTTCCATTAGTGCCAGCGCTTTACAAGAACATACACAAACTCCTCATTTAGTGACCAAGTTATGCAAATTTGGCTGAGTGCTGCCATCCATTCAGATGAAGTTCTCTCATACAGCTAGGCCTATGTTACCCTCACTGCAGGGCATTGTCCGGCACTTGAAATTTGATTGTAAATGTGCACAGTGGTCAGAAACTGAATTTTTTATTATGTCATTGTATTTTTTATAGCAATAGCAATTAGATTTATATACCGCTTCATAGGGCTTTCAGCCCTCTCTAAGCGGTTTACAGAGTCAGCATATTGCCCCCAACAATCTGGGTCCCCTATTTCAGAATGGTCACTAACTGAGGAAGTTGCTAAATGAGAAATGGGTGTATACAATTAGAATAAGGAATACAAAAGGGTAGAAAGAAAACTTGAAGTTTTTGAACATGAAGTGAAGTGTACCAAACTAGATGTTTTAGGAATGAGTGAACATAGGTGAACCTGGATTGTCCATTGGACAATCACTGATATTCAGGATATGAATCTCTATGTAAGAATAGAGAGAGAAATAGCACATGAAAAAAGATGTTTTAAAGGTAAAGAGATCTGAGATGAGATCACTAATATTTATACATACTTAATATATTATCCAATATAAAATGGATAATGGAGACAACAATAAAGAAAGCTGATTTACTTTTGCTTCTCAAATCACAATAAGGGACCTAGTTTTCTTCTGAATTTCTTTTTTTAAAGAAATAAACTACTGAAAAAATTAACTTGGAATTTCAACATATAGAAAGGGAACAGCAAAGGAATGTGTATTGTCCATACTATGCAATATGTATTTATATTATAAATATAAATTTGCAGGATTGGAAAAGATGTCAGCAGGAATCAAAATTGGAAATTAAAATACAAGCAATTAAAGATACACAGATGACATGACTTTGTTAGCTGAAAATAAAGATGATTTATGAGAAATATTTATGAAAGGAAAAATGGAATGTACTATAAAACTTGCCTATTAAGAAGTTTACAAAGTTAGTATGAACTTACATATTGATAAGTCAGAGGACTGGAGGATAATGAGACAATGAGAAACTTCACCTCACATTCCTCCTCCACTTCACTATTTTTTGATATCAATTATAATAGATTGGCAGACAGTTTTACTAATCTTCCTATCAGTTGGAGTTCCAGAAGACCAACAGAGCTACATTCAGAGCTGTGTTCAGACAAATTATAATGTCACTTATGCAATTTAAAATATGGCTAACGTTTCTATTCCAGGTAACCATCTACATTTGCTGAAGCCTGTCAAGTAATGTTTTTTTTTTTAATCTAGGGAAAAAATCTGTTTGTAGGATCTATACAGACTGTATGGACAGACCCACTTGGAAGACTTGATACCGAAGGCTCAACTTCCAGGGAAACATTAATTATATCAACATATTTTTCTGCTGGTTCAAGAAAGGAAGAATGCACATTAACAGAGCCGTGATGATTCAGTATCTGGAGACTATGGGGTCAAGATTGAAAGGAGCAAATTCATGCTCAATCCTAGCACAACCAAGTGGCAAATAAATTTCAAGACCTATTAAATTCAAAGACTTCTATATTTATTTCTGACTAGGTAGCCCTCTGAGCCATGGCTGCCATTTGATTTTCAAGCAGAAGTCATGAGTCAATCTGGGAGCCTCCTAGATTCATGACTCCTGCTTGAAAATCAGATGGCAGCCATGGCTCAGAGAACATTTGAAGTACTACTGGACATATTGCTGAACCTATTAATGGACTGGGAGACCAGACACACAGTCGCTCATGCCTTAGTCACCCTTGTCTGGATTACTACAATTCATTCTACTTGGCTTCCCTTCAAGATTCCCTGGAAGCTACAACTGGTCCAAGATGCATGGCACAGACAGCTGCAGATGCACCTCAATACACCCATGTAACATAGTTACTTTGAGAGCTTGGAGACTTTCAGTGGGCTTGGAGATACAATTCAAGGCCCAATACCTTAAACATTACTTTTAAAGCTGTTTGTGACACAAACTCTGAGTTTTGTGAGACTACCTCTCTCTGATTATCTCTACCCATCCAGTAAAATCCCACAAACTCATATGTTCCAGAGCTTATCTCTTAAGCAATGTCCTCTCATAGAACCCAGGATTCATGCCTTCTCTTTCACTGTACTTGCCCTTTAGAATAGTAATCCCACCCAAGATCCAGATGGTTCTAATCCCACCTGGTTTTTCCATAGACATTGGATCAGGAAGAGTGTGAACCCATCTGGTTTGACTTTTCTGATTGTGAATCTGCCTCTTGCACCCTCTGTATTATGTTTTCTTGCATCATATTATTTTTTACATTTTAGTATTATAATTATATATGGAGTCATTTCAAGAGGGCAGCAGTACTTTAACTACCTAGCATTTTTCCATACAGCCGCAGGAGCAAACAAAATTCAGTGGCACCTAAGCAATAAATAAACATACTAGAACTTATTTCCAAATAATTATATTTTAAAAGCATTATACTAAAGTTTTTAATATGGACAAAATAATAAAGCCCCCAATTTGATAATTGATTTAGGCTCTTTCAACTTTGAAAGTTTACACACACTGCAAAGTCAGTGAAATATATTTCTCTTACCACTTATGTCACCCTCCCGCCTTGATCGTGGCTGATTACGTGAAACTGTGGTTGAAAGGCCTTTTGAGGTAGAATTCTGTAACGTAGGCTGGCCTGCAGTTAACGTCCAAGCAAGCCGCGTTCCCAGCTGTTGTCGGAGACAATCTCCTACTCCCGCACGTTGATAGGATTGTCTAAGAAAAGAAACCCTAGGTATTAATATAATAATGATAAAATGGCAATAAAGTACACAAATGTTCCAAATATTTTTGCTTTTCCATGACTGTCCAATGATGTTCCAGCCAAGCCTAATTCAAGCTTTGCAGACAGAAAATAGATAAAAATAAATAAATATACAAATACATACAAAATACTATCACTATAAAAGCAAAGGATTTCTCATGTGTTTCCTTCATATATAACTCCTAGCTGTATAGCTCTATAGTATAAGAGGAAATGCCAAACTTCTTGAATGTTCAGCAGACATCTTCTCTAGTATATTAAATACAATACAGAAGAAACATATTCTCATCCCTTCAGTTGTTTGCTGCCAAAAAAGTTATATAACAAAACAATGTCCTTTGAGGGATCATTTTAGAGACTGATATTTCAAATGCCTTGTGAGAGAAACTGTCTTCCACATATCGAATTACTAAATTTAGACCTGCCAATGCGAGGTTCAAAGCTTTGTTTCAATGATTACTTGACTTTTTATATGACTATATGGTTTTTATTTGTAAGCTACCAAAAGTCATTTATGGGCACTGCAGAAATTTGATAAATAAAAAATAATAAAATAATTTCTAGTAGATCTCTTCTAATATTTTAGTAAATTAAAAAACTACATTTATATTTTATTTCAATCCTGCAAGAAAGCCTATTCTTAGCAATGGAAATGTCTCTTACCCAAAAGTTTGTATATGGTACAGGTGAGAAATAGTCACCATACCTGGGACACTTGACTCTTATTAGCTATATTCAAGGGCAGGTTGCTAAGCTATCACGGGGAACAGACTGAGAAATTCTCAGGTTCTCAGACTAAGCAATCAGCTAAGTACAAGTAGTCCTCATTTATCAACTACAATTGGGACCAGCAACATGGTTGTTAGGTGAAGTGGTTGCTAAGTGAACCTGTGATTGTGCTTATGATCTTACTTCACCTTGTATTTGCTTTAGAGGCAAAAGAGTCATAAAGGCAAGGTCTGCTTGCGAATTATTTTTTAACAGTAATTGCAGTTGTTAAGCGACTCAGAAATTAAATGAGAACTATCTATAATTATCACACCACTTACCATATTAAGTAGTGTATTAAGTGTATCAAACTGAAGAGATTTATCAACAAAATACTGCAAATTTTTGTCTTTTTCTAAATCCTGCTCTTAGGCTTTGAAATTTACAATGCATTCAACAATAAGCCTCATTAAGGCCAACAAATATATTTTAAGATAATATACCGAAACACAAGATTTTTGTACATTACTACTATGGAATCATTCTAAGCACTTAACAATATAGACTGCATCTTGGGTGGGATTACTATTCTAAAGGGCAAGTACAGTGAAAGGAAAGGCATGAATCCTGGGTTCTAGGGAGGGCTGTCAAACTTGTGGCTCGCGGACCAGATTCAGGCCATGCCCATGCCTGGTTTAGTGAAGGGAAGAAAATTTGCGATATGTCACATAACGACACTGTGACGACACAAGTTTGACATCCCTGCTCTAGAGCTTAAGAGGTACCTCAATAGACTAATAGACCACATTCAGGTAAGTCCTCAACTTATGATTGTTCCCCTAACGATATTTTGAAATAGCAATGGGTTCAGAAAGGGTACACCGGTTCCAAAATGTCACAAAGACACCCCACAGTCAGGTGATCTTCATCTGGGGCTTGACAATCTGTTCACATTTCAATCTGGTTGCCAAATGCCCTGCCGCCATGAGATGACCATTTGCAATCTTGCTGGCTTCTCCAGAAAGTCAATGAGGAAGTCAGCAAGAAAGGTTGCTGCTGCTGCAAACAGCCGAAACTGCTGTTCCTGCAACCCGTTGAATGATTTCAACTCTCCTTCATCAACAGAGCTGAAATTCTTCAGCTGGCAGCTCTTTCAGCCACCTTCCAGAGATAAGAGGGAGCTGAGAGCTGAAATCTAAGCAGGATTTTCTGCCCCAGAGCAGAGAGAGAGAGCAGTAAGGTAAGGAGTACAAGGTGCTCAGGCAGGTAAGGGCGGCTCTGGGAGGCCCAGTACAGTTACAAGTGCTCAGCGCTGAAAATTCCTGCTTGAATTTCAGCCAGGAGGAATATCAGTCCATGAGCAGGAAGGCAGTACAATAAAGTAAGGAGTGCAGGGTGCCTTGGGATGGGGTGGGGGAGGTAAACGCAGGCTGAGTGCCTCTCTGCTCAGGGGCTGAAAATCCTGCCTTCCAGTGGTTAGTAAAAGCTTTAGCTTTTTAAAGCTAAAACAGAAACAAAAAGAGTAGAAGATCAAGATAAGCAGAGATTAACCACTGGATTAACACTAGACAAACTAGACAAACACTAGACAAACAATCAAATGAACGAACAGTAAACAACAGCCTAATCAAGGAACTAGCAAGAATTTCCAACACTGATAAGGCAAGCTATTTTAAATAAAGAGTGAGCAAACCCCACTCCCTTCCAGCACTGACAAGATTTTATCTAGTCTGCTAATAAAACATCTGCACACAAATAACCAAGCTCAGAGAACACTAAGAACTCTATTGTTTATATATACATATATTGTGAGTCTGAGAGTCATATTTAAAACAATGTGACTCCAGAGTGACTCAGGCAATGCCAAAACTGAATTAAATAAAACAAGATGAACACATTTCCTTTACCCTGGAAGAAATGTTGGTGGAGTTGGCGTTGGTCCATTTGGGGCATATATCCCTATACTACTGATCCCACTGCTTCCCATAGTGCCAGGCTGGAGATTCCGATCTTGATAATTCAGAGGAAGGCTCTGAGGTCTAGCATAGTAGTAAGGAGTTGAGTGAGCATCCCGTGGTAGAGCTTGAGCAAAGAGGGTAGCAAAATTTGAAACCTTGAGGGGAAAAAAGGCCCACATTTTAAGGATACCTCATACAGTAATCTAGTCCAAAGCATCATCCAAATCAGTGTTTCTTAAACTATTCTGCAGAACACAAATGATAAAGATGAGCCATGAATGACCCCATAATCTAACAATATGGCTTTTATGTTTTATCTTATTAGCTAAACATTATTACTTCTCTGTGAGGTGAGTTGGGCTGAGAAAGATTGACTGGCCCAAAGTCCCCCAGCTGGCTTTCATAACTAAGGCAGGACTAGAACTCACAGTCTCCTAGTTTCTAGGCCAGCACCTTAACCAATACACCAGACTGGATCTCTATTATCCTATCAGCAAATTTAAAAAAAAACATTGTTGAAGCTCTTTCTAACACAAAATGTAAAACAAAAAGAAAAGAAAACATGCATCTGGATTTTTTGAATTAAATTTCAGAGAATGCGAGCTTTTTCACGAGAAAGTGGATTTACAGCAACCTCCCAATATAACCAGTAACAAAACTGAAATAGTTGTTACAGTTTCTTTAAAAAATCTCACGTAGACAATGATGAAATATGTCAACAAGTCAGAATATAGGTATTTCTCACTGAAGAAAAAGTTACATTCTGACCTTGAAATTATTTAAGAAATTACATCAGACAGAAACATGGCTGTTATTTTTATTAACTATGCGTCTAAAATAAGCCACAATGATAAAACATTTCTAGAGCCAAATCCAATTTTTCCCTGGATATTTTCATTACATTCTACATGAATTCACCTCAATGAAAACTGACTAAATATCTATTCTAGTAGATATCTAATTAGCTAGTAGAAATATCAAACACATATTTGTTCCTTGTATATTTATTTGCTAAATTAGAGATCAATTGATATGTTTTGCTAGCTACCAGGCACAAGATTTCTTGTAATGAAAAAGAGCCCCCCCCAACCCCCCCTTTTTTTGCAATGGCACACCAAATAGACATACGTTCAGAGTTTACTTGCTATTAATTTCAGTGAAGTTTTTAGGCAGCAGAAGACTATATTAAATGATTTAACCAGTCATTTAAAAACATTTTAATGTTCTTAATCATTTGAAATTGACCATCTTGTCATTTAACTCATAAAAATGGCAAATCAATGAAATTAAAAACTTTAAGAAAATTCAATGTTAAATTTCATTAGAAAAAGTTTGATTGTAAAAGTTAACATCTATATAAACACGTACATACATATATAATAAACAAGATTAAAAATGCTATTTGCCTTGTTTGACTGCTTACGAGGATCTTCACTGAGACTAAGCAGGAGGTAGAGGATTGACCATCTGTTTTTCAAAACGCCCTATGATAAGAGACAACAATTAGTTATGACAACTTGACTTCAAAATATAAAAGTATTACTTATTCAGAACAAAGCAGGTATTGTCTGCCTTTTCATTTCAAAATAGCATAAATGGGTAACGCCAAGTTCCAAGAAATCTAGCCAGCTATTGTTCACTTCTGCAAAACTGATCCTTAAGTTTCATAGCAGCAGCCAATCACTGTCAGCTTCAAAGAAAATAAAAAAATTAGACACACAGATCTATTGTCACAATAATTTTATCTATATGTATACACACACAAACACACGCGCACACACACACACTTTAGAGTATCAGCAATTGCCCACTTGCCCCTTTTGTACTTATAAGCTTCTTTGTGTTTACGCAAGGCATTGCCTTCAAATTATTTCATTTCCACCATCTACTTTTCCACATTGGATGATGCTAGTAAAACCAAGGGAATAGATTGTGTGGACTGAATTGTTTCAATGAACAACCTATCATAGCCAAACAAAGAAAAATTGATATCAAGCATCAGTAATGGAGGATTCCTACTAAAATAAGCCATGTCCTTGCCAGGATATCCCAAGTTTCTTTCAGGTTTGTTTAAATGAATTGATTCTGCAAGATAAATTATGAAAATTAGAAAACTAAAGAAAAGACTGATAGTTCTCTTTGAGTCATTAGCTGCTCAGGAGCAATTGCATTAAGCAGCCTTTTAACTATTTTCAGAATCTCTAGTGAAAGAAAGAACTCAACCATGCCAAAGAATAATTAATTTGCATTCACGGGCACGCACGCACGCACGCACGCACACACACACACACACACACATGGTTTAGTTGCATAAAATTAATATATGTTTAAGGAATCCTAGACATAATGTACCAAAAAATAATTAAAATAAAGCCAACATTATTTAAGGGACTGAAGGAATATATGATCAATTAATCAATATACATTAACTTAAAAATAGAGCAGGAAGATAACTTTAACATAATAAAACAAAATATACCTTGACAGTCTAAGACCTTTCCATAAAAAGTCATTTTGGGAAACTAAAATAATTGCTATTCATTTTATTTTCATAATAGGATTTCATTACAGTATTATACAACATAAGGGAACGCAATACATTTCCATAAAAACTATGGTCCAACTGGTATTGCAGAGAACAAGGCTGCAAAGGAATGACATTCGTATAAATGATGTACAGGGAGTGGGACTATAACCCTAATTGGGACTGTAGTTTCCATTGTTAAGCAAAGTGGTCAGTAAGCAAAGCATAATGTAACCATACCACTTGGCAGAAATGGCAGTTTGGCAGGCCTGGTTGCAATCATTAGGCAAGAACTACATAATCTTTGGGCAAGGACCTCATGCCACCCCTACCCTGCCCAAACTGATGTTGCTTTGAATCTCTCCACCAGCCTATCTCCCACCATCTCAGCCCTTTGGCCACCATGCATTCTACCACTACTCCTACCACTGACCTTCACTGTCTTCCTCCTTCCACTGCTGACCCAGGATTCAGGTGCTGAACAAGGACACAGTGCCAGTGAGTGCAGCAGGGCAGTGAAGCCCCATTTGCTAAAGGATACTCAATGGGCTATTGCTTCTTGTGCCAACAATGGAAGTTGGAAGTCCTATACCTGCCCTGACATCCTGCTTCCTCTACATCCCATTACCTCCTTCCTAGGTAGGCCTAGCTCTGGAGGCTGTACTGTGCTGAAGTGGCAGCAAGATCAGATGGCAGAGTACAGGGTGGCCCAAAGGGAAGAGATCGGGGTGGGTGGGGTGGAGATAGGTGAGTGGAGGAACTGAAGCAGGAGTTTGTACAAGGGTAGAGAATAAGAACATGGGACGTTGCAACTGGTTGTAAATGTAGGTCAGTTGCCAAGTGCCCAAATATTGACGGTGTGACTGCCAGAGTGCTGCAACAGCCAGAACTTTGAGGACTGATCGTAAATCTCAGGTGTTCAATAGCAATAGCAATAGCAGTTAGACTTATATACCGCTTCATAGGGCTTTCAGCCCTCTCTAAGCGGTTTACAGAGTCAGCATATTGCCCCCAACAACAATTCGGGTCCTCATTTTACCCACCTCGGAAGGATAGAAGGCTGAGTCAACCTTGAGCCGGTGAGATTTGAACAGCCGAACTGCAGAACTGCAGTCAGCTGAAGTAGCCTGCAGTGCTGCATTTAACCACTGCGCCACCTCAGCTCTATTCAGCAATATTGTAACTTTGAATGGTCACTGAACAAATGGACCTAACTCAAAGATTACAAGAGATTCATCTCTTCTCAAAAGGTGCCAAATGGGTCTTCACTAAATTCCCAGAGTTGTCTACATATGCTTCCACAAACAACACTTCTGTTTTGCAACAGCAAAAGAGAATGTGAATCCTTTCAGAAGCCAGGCTGCTTTAAAGCGTCAAGACAGATGCTTCATTTTGCTAATGGTTTTGTAAATTTTTTGCGCAGCCTAGGTAGAAAGTTTGTTCCTTTACCTGTGAGTAAAGTTTTCTGTAGAGCTCTGAAAATACAGCAGCATGTTCTTCTCTTCCTTGGCGCACAACTGTAATAGAGAAAAACATTTAGGGGCAGTTTGGGAAGCAAATCGTGTTTTACTTTTTGAAGGCAAATGACATTGCTATTGAGTATTTTATTGCTATATAGATTTCTGCTGGCTTATATTACAACAATTCCTATTACATCATGGTTTGTTTGTTTTTAATCTCAATGTTGTTCATATGTAGAAAATCTACATTTTGCATTAAGATGCAAATTCATGCAACTATTCATTCTTCATATACAACAACCTTTTACTTAATATTATATAATTGATCTATGGGCTAGGAAAAGGTTTTTCTGCATAAAGATGATTATTTCTTCACAAGATCTGCCTCGATTACGTAAAAATGCAAGACAATGTATAAATGAATGGGAAAACACAAATCCTTGTTACACTAGATTTTACTTCTATTGCATGGGACCCCAACTCCTGGGCCACAGCCCACTCCTGGCCTGCAACCCATTCGGAACTGGGCTGCCCCAGCAGTGGGTGAACATGCATGCACATGCAGCCCCACTCACAAGAGCAGCAAGCGCTCACACAAATGAAGCTGTGCATGCATGCGCGTCAGCCCCTCACACAAAACCATCCCCTCTCCTCCCCACAACAGGCCACTAACACGTTGGGGGATGTTGTTCTATGATATCCTCTGTGGTACTGATTTGAAGAATCAGATTTCCAAAAATATATGAAAATGAAGACATTGCTTCTTCGCCAAGATTAAAAAATCACTGTGAATACACTCCTCCTAATTCCTGATATTGCTGAAGATAAATCCAAAAATATTTCCATGCCAAGGCTTAAAGTGAGGGAATGGTTCTAAGGTATATTATTATGAGTACTAATATACCCATGTAATGCTTGTTTTTTCTTTTTCTGAAAACTTTGAATTGTTTACCTATCTATATAGTTGCAAGAATAGATACTAGCTATATAAATCAAGCACAATTTGATGTCATACAAGAGACATAGTTTATAAACTATGGTATGTTTTATTAAATGCCACCTAGAGTCACATTTGTAAGATGTGTGACTATATAAATTTGGTAGATTAATAGAAAGACTGATAGACACATAATAAAAGGTAACCCAAGCATCAAGCAATTGTACTGTCTCCAATAAAACAATCTTACCCTTGGAATATGCATTTTTAAAAATTTCTATTAAATACTCTATGTGGGCCAATATAAATTATGGTCAGAAACACTTACTGCAAAAATAAAAAGACAACATCTCAGTTATTCACAAAATAATTGAGAAAATGATATTTTAAACTATTCTACATCTTCTGATTTATAAAATTAATTGATGTCATAGTTCATGTTCAGGATTATACACAATGCATCTGGAAGATCAGATCATCCTCACTCAAAGACATAAGGTGGATGACAACAAAGCTGTCAAAAAGTAACCTCTTCCCCTTAAGTTTCTTGTCTTGTCCATGGAAGGAATAAAGGGGCAAATCCCCATTTCATGCTGCAAAGACAAAACTGTCCAACCTACTTTTTACACAGCATTTTTTCTATATACATTTGCAATTTAAAAAATGGTTTGCCTTATTATTCTGCAGAGAAAAAAGTCGACTATATAGGATAAAAGAGGATCTCATTGCTCCCTACTTCACTTCCCACAACCAGTAAGTGCATAATAGCCAAAAGCTACCCTTCCAAAGTGCTTGTATAGCATTTGTGAAATAACATGATGATCACAGCATGGACAATCTATAAAGGAAATGGGAACTTGAAAGTGAAAGTGAAAGAGGAGGAAGAGGAGGATGGGGAGAAAGAGAGAGAGGGGAGAGGGAGAGGTAGGGAGAGAAGAAGGAAAAGGAGAAAGAAAAAACCTCTATACATTTGAAGTCTTAAACATCTGAATAAAGATACTTTAGAATTGTTTTATGTTCTTAAAGGGGGAGCCATGGGGAGGAAGGATAACTGCTCGCAACACGTAGTCAAAATACGACCCCTTGTTCAGCAACTGTTCAAAATTATGATGCCACTGAATGAGGGTAACTATTTGTGAAGTTGCAGCTGTAACAGTGACCCTGCAGTTATGTGATCATGCAATTACAATGTTGCAGTGAGCTGAGGTCACATGATTGCCATTTGTCACCTTCCCTGCTGGCTTCCCATAAAGTCAACGGGGAAGCCAGGAGGGAAGGTTGCAGTTGCTCCTGTAAATCAATCCTGTCACTTTTTCTCCTGAGGAGCCCCACTATGGAGTACAAGATCCCAGGGCAGGGATCTCATACTCTACAGTACGCTCAACAACCTGAGCTCCCACTGACCTGCTTGCACTCAACTTGTCTGGTCCCTGCTTGCATCTTTTGCAGGCCTACCAGTGGCCCTCACTGTTCCACCTGCACCTTCATTGACCTGACTGTGCTCTCCAGTGACCACCCACACAAGGCCCTCACTGGTCTGCATGCATTCCCTAGCACCCACCCACCCCACACTCCTTACTCCCACCTTTTAACTGTTACATGGTGCCGGGGTTAAGATGGCACTGCTAGGATTGCCTTTGCTAAGCAATGTAGTAACTTGACATTGCGCTTTACGATATTATCACTTAATGACAATGATCCCAGTAACCTGTATATATGCCATGCCATGCCATTAAAAAGCTTGAAAAAGAAACGGGTGAGGCAAAAACTCAGATTTAGAGTCTGAGACTCCACTAAAGTCTACAAGTTTGCCTAACAGTTATCTAAAAGTTTGGCTAAAGTTGTCATTTCTTTTAATTGTTGCTAGCCACCTGGAGTCACTGCGTTGGACGGCATATAAGTTTATTTTGTTGTTAGTTAGTTAGTTAAATCTACTCTAAATTCCCTCAAGTTCAGCTGGTCTTACTTTAGGGGAATTGCATGCCAGCCTCTTAATACTTGTTATCCCCTTATTTATTTATAGTTGCTTCAGTTAGAATCTCTGCTGCATCTCTGATCTTTTTGTGTGTAATTGACAATAGTCATGGAAATACTATCTAAGCCAGACAACCCACCTGATGCCCTCAGAGGTTGATACCAACCATGATGGAGCAGCAAAGAAAGCATAGAACTCTGAGATTTATCTGGAGTGCATCAAATCTAGAATCTTGCTATGATTGTCATTTCATATTTTCTTCACTACAGTAGTTATACAAATGTAAGTGATGTTAATAAGGAATTGAAAAAGAGCATAAACCCATTCATTCTGCATTATGTCTTCTCTGTATTAATTTCAGCTAGCAGTGATATGTTTTAATTCATATGAACACAGACTAAATTTTATTTATGTTTTATAAAAATTATTGGAGTAATAATATAGCACTGATAAGTAATCAAGTGAATCTAAGCAAGTATAATTTAGTAGCAGTACAAATTTTATCGAAAATAAATCTAAACACCATTAAAAACCAAATTCCAAATAAACTTACATTCTTTTTTAATTTTTTCTGCCACAAGAAATTCATCTCGCTCGACTGTAGGGGCAAAGTTGCTTCCAATGACTCGCACTGCATACTGAAACTGCTGAGCAACATCAGCTGAAATGAAAGCACAGTTAGATTGCAAATATTTCATTGTATTTGTTTATTTAATCATTTATTTCCTACCTTTCCCTCAGGGAATTCATGAAAAGGCATGTTTTTCCCACCCATATTATCTTCCAAATAATCTTTGAACTTAAGTCAAATTGCTAATGAACAACTCAATATTGTCCAAAAAGATTCATCACTGAACAGATATTGAATTTAGATTTTTCAAGATTTGGAAACCATGACATCACATATATTAGTAAACTGATAGAAAGAAGTCTCTTAAAAACAAAGCCTCCATAATCAGAAGATGAATGGATAAACTGTGCTACTATACAGTCAAGAACATTTGATCTAAATCAGCAATTCTCAAAGTATGGTCTGATGATCTTTTTCAGAAGTCAATTCAATATTTTTAAATTTCTCTGTTTAAACTTCTAATATAGTAAATATTGACAGATGTAACTCACATTAACCAAAGCTCTCTTGGTCCTCAATCATGTTTAAGCATATAAAGAGGTCCTGAGGCCAAAATATTTAAGAACCACTGATCTAAATCATTTTAGAAACAAACATCACAAACCCAAGAAAGATACTTTGCATTTCCTCAATTAAACCCAAGGATTTAGAAACTACTAAAACCTAATCTATTAAGAACCATTTCAATTATATAGTACCTATAGCCAAAGCAATGATACATACATTCTATTTATTTATAAGATGATTAATGTAAAACAATTCATAACAGGGCCAGGTCAAATAATTAAACAAAACCCAATCCTAAAAAGCAAGACGAGATTTTTCACATAACTTGTCATGAGAGAACATCTATTTGTTCAACACAAAAATCAACTAGGTTAGCAAAATTCTTAAAACAATGATTCAAAAATTACAAAATCCAGGTGTTTGATTCAAGCAGCCAGGTTTCTTCATACATTTTTCAGTTGTTTCCTTTCAGTTTCAGTTGCTTCCTCTCTCTCTAAGAAACAAGATGTGTATATTCAACCTCGTAAAAACAGGGGGCATAAACTCACTCCCCCAATCAATTGAAGTCTACACATGATGTCACAAGGAGAGACCTGAGGTCATTACAAGAAAACTAATTTTAAAATTTTGTTTTTTCTTGTGGGTCGAGATTTTTAACGATGGAAAGCCCCAAGAAATGATTTTCAGAAATGTAATGGGCTGATGATTTAAGAGTGGAAATTTAGAATAGTTTGCTTCATAGAAGTACTGACTTCTATTTCCATCTTTATTTTGAAGAGAGGGGGGAATTTGTGCCTTCAATGTTAGCAATTTTTCAGAACAAGGTTGCATTTTCAAGCATTCATACTTTAAATAATGACTTGGTTTTTCAGTACTGTTCACTTGAATCTTTATAATTAAACAATATATTGTTCCTTCCAAAGCTGAGTGATTTCTCAGATCAAAAGCTGTTGGAAACAAGGATACCAGAAAGCTAGATTTAAACAACTGTATATCTTGGAGCAGGCATTTAAATTCAATTTTGGATAATTCTAAATGGAAGCAGAACACGCACTGTGTGCTTTCACCACCAAATATATCACTCTGTTTTCCCAACCCCTTGCTTAGCCCTTAAGAGTCACCAGGGTGGAGGGTATTTTACTGTTTTATTTTCTCCATCTGTATGGATTAGCCAGCTTTAGTAATCATCATTATAAAGATGCACTCAACACACACTTTTGATAACATTTGTGTTATTCTGTGTACAAGCATCTGTAGTCTGTAAATACCACAGAACAGCAAAATAGCAAAAGAAAAAGAAAGCGGTGTTATATTACCCCTTTCCTCAAAGTGATTGAGACATAGCTTGTGAAAGCAATCTTGGTTGATGTCATATGGCGTGTAAATCAAAACCAAACCATATTATGGCTCTGTATATTGTATTTTGTCAATGTTTGCTAAGACTGTCAGCCATTGCCTTCCATTGCTCTTGGAACCCAATAATCAGCTCTTTATTCTACTCCTAAATTCACTATGAAGGTTCAGGATTTAGTCTTTAGGCTCTTTATTTTTTTAAAAAAAAACTTTAATTCTGTGTCTTTAAATGGTTGGACAGGAAGATTCAGGAAACTGATAAAATACTATAAAAATGCAAAATTAAAGAAATGCACAACTGGAGCCAGCATACAATAATTATTTCCTTCAGTAGTCAGTATTCTATTCTCACTGAAAATTGGGATCATCAGAACCTTGGTCCTAATATGCTCATTGTTTACTTATTTGTTTTGATAAACTTAGAAAAGAAAAAAAACGGTAGCATATTTCAGTGATAAAAAAGCCAGGCTGCAGATCTGAGGGGAGAAATAAATATCCAAGCATTTTTTTGAAAGCCTAATATGATCTTTGAGATGCATTCTCTTTCACCATCTGGTCTTTAAATTCTTTGTCTTTGCTAGAGACTTCATTTCATTTTTGGCAAAACTAGATCAGCAAAATGAAGAGTGCCAAATGCATGGGGTAAATGCCAAATGACTTTTGCCAAAAGCAGAAAGAAGGAGCTGATATCTTGAAAAACAAGCTTTCATCTTGCAGATCCTAATGGACTTCACAAGCTGGCACAAACCAATAAATAGAAAAGATAGCAAAATTAAGATCTATTCTGCATGTTCTCCTCTATTTGTCACCTTAATTTTCAAAACACTGGGGCTTAACTATGTTCCAATAACAAAAATTAAACAGTAATCTAATCATATTAACATTCACAATAACTATAATTAGAAGAGAAACATCCTAAACTACCCCTTAACTTTTATTACCCAGAAAACTCTTATTAAAATGAATTAATTGCATCTCATGAATATACATACAACAAGGCATGAATATATATTTTAAAGTTAATAAGAAAGCCATTTAGAATATGCCCCAAAACACATATATATGCCTGTTCAAAGATTTCCGAAACCTCACTTTAGGACTGAAAAAAACCCACAAAAACTTATGAGAATGATAATAATTTTAAGATTATGTCTTTGTTTGACTATCCTGGCAGAAGCTCTTAATGAACACATTTACAGAACGTTCTCCAAAAATTAAGTATATTATTATATGCTATTCTGATTGCAAAGTGCCTACAGCAAAAAGCATACATTATTAATTTGATGAAGGCATTTTAGCAATTTAAATCATGAGCACTTTTATATTAATTGCTATAAAACCATGTTTCCTTAATGATTAGTGGTGATTGTTCTTTACCACCAATTATGCAATATACATTTCCTTCTGTTCCATTAATGTATTAGAGGAATTTACACTCCATTAATATATATATATATGCATACCTACACCCATGAAAATCTACGAAAACACATATATATATATATCGGCAAATCCTCTGAGAAATTGGAAAGGAAATAGCATAGGGACTACATTATAAAAAGTTAAAATGGAAAACAATTCCCAGAATAAAATATTCTAATTGTAATAGCTGGAGCTTTCTAGAAACTTGTAAAAATATGAATATATGTAATTAAATTAAATATAAGTTGACAAAGACTTGATGGAGCAAACAAATGAAATATTAAAACATTTAGCTGAATGGTTTTTCCATTAACAAGATAATTAGTAATACTTAAGTATTTGAGGTCAGAAGTAAATTTAGAAAAAAAACCTAGGAAAATCCGAGCTTTTGAATCCAATTTCAAGCATACGTTAGGTGCTCTTTAAAAGAAAGCTGAGATTTTGTGCAATAATTCATTTCAGTTTTTCTAGCAATAATTTTCTTAAATTGTATTATTTTCCCTATTTTGATGTGCTTTAAACCTCTGGTTGCTGACCTCAAACTTCCAATTAAGGTGAACATTGCATCTTTCCCCTGGACTTCCATTGATTCATCCTTGTTTCTCACTTTTATCAATGTTTCTACCGCCAAAATCATTTTTGATCACATCTCCCTTCCTGCTCATATTTCAAAATCTATACACAGCTTTTCCTGCTTCCTCTTTACTTTTGGGTCCAGATATAACCTTGTATTGTCACAATCTCCACTTTTCCAACCCTCACCCCCTTTCATTCCTTCAAAAGACAATCCCCTCTTCCATTCTGCAAACCTCTAGGGACACAAATATTGTTACAATAATTAAAAATTACAAAAGAGAAATAATATTTTTATTAAATAACTATAGTAATAACAATAATAAATTTATTATTATTTAATGAGAACATCCAAACATGCAATTATCCTCATAATATGCATGCAATTGTCATAAGAGTCTTTTGCAGCTTCCTCTTAGTGTAACAAAAGCTACAATTAGTAAACTGTACACAGCTGCACATATATAAACCAAAGCAGGGGTGGGATCCTGTACTGGTTGGTACTGGTTCGCTGCGTGCGCACACCCGTCACACATTGTTTGTGCATGCGCAGTTGACTTTAAATTGTTCTGTGCATGCTGGCAACAGCAGAAGAGACTGGGGAACCGGTTTGGGGGTGTGGCCAGCCTGGGTCGCTGTGAGCTGTGCAACACAGGCCAAATCACCACTTCCGGTTCAACTGAACCAGGCCGAACTGGGAGCAACCCACCTTTGAACCAAAGCATGTTCCTTGAGAGTTGTGTTTTATCATCTACCTAAAATATGTTTTCTCCTCCAGTTTGACTTTCCTCTTGCCTACTCATATATGCACTTACATCAGCAGCAGAGCATTGGACCCAAGTTTTGTATTTCAGTCTTGCTGTACAGAATCAAAGGAGGATTTAAATGAAACGCATTTTGGCAGCAAATCTCACCCTCCAGATCTGAATTGAATTTGAATGTCTGCAGAGTTTGAGGTGACTCTGAGTGGTTTCACTCCTTTCTAGATGGGTACATCTAGTCAATAGTGGCAGTGGGAGATGTGGGCACCTTAAGTACTCTGTAATGGAGTTTTAGAAAGCTAAGACCTTTCCCCTCATCCTTCTTAATATCTATATCAGCGGTTACCAACTGGTAGTCCATGGACCACTGGTGATCTGTGAGAAAATGTTGGTGGTCCGCAGAAAATTCTTTGC